TGGGTTAGATTTATTAAATAAGATAAAAATGTTTAAAATTTGATATTGTAAAGGGAGAAAATTAGGTAGGTAGGATCATCTCATAATGAGTCTCTAATAATATTTTATGTAAATTAATCAATCAATAGATTAAATATAGATGGATATACTAAAAAATAGATAATATTTTCTAAACGATGTGACTTTGATTTAAGGGTAAATTTGAGTATTGAGAATATATGTAGAGATGACAAGAAGTTAGGTTGAGTCAGATTTTTAGTCAATTCGATTCGACTTAAGAATTATATATCTTCCATCTGAATTCGATCCGACCCGGTAATCATACACTATCAACTAAGATCCAACTGGAACCAAGAAACATACATTCTCCACCCGACTTGGAAGTATATTCCCTTCACCTGAACCAAGAAACATACATTCTCCACCCGACTTGGAAGTATATTCCCTTCACCTGAACCTGACCCAACTCAAAATTTTAAGGTAAAAATCTACATCCGACCCAATCTAATATGATATATATATATAATAAATATATGAGTCTAATTGAAAAACCTATAAAGACGTGGCTCATTATAACAATTATCTCTAATTTTTTTAAAAAAAAAAACCCTAAAGTCAAACTCGACCCGATTTCACCCTCTATAAAATTCAACCCCACCCGAACAAAACTCAATTAAAAAACCCTCAACCCTGTTTAATCATATTAGAATATATCAATTTTGAATTATATTATCATCTTAAATATAAGAATTTCAAATCTAAATTTTATCATAATGTGGATTCTCACTTAAAAAATTTATTTTCATATAAGTTCTATGTGTGATCTTGTCCAGATATATTTCAATTATTACTTCAATTATGCAATGTAATGACTACTTCAATTATGCAATGTAATAACATTTTTTTTGTTGCCCTTACGATTCCTAAAGCTTTGTCTTGATTAATCTGAACCGATTCGGGTCGCACATATGATTTTGGTGGGTGAGTCTTCTAATGGGGATTTTCTGCATACACAAAGACTCGAATTCGAGACTTGCTTAAATGATATCAAGTTGCTTACCACTTAAACCAACCCATTGGTCGAAAATAAATAACATGAATTAAGATAGAAAAATATAATTACTAATCAATATTAAACTCAAAACAACTATAAATATTATCAGATAAAATAAAATAAAAAACACAACATAGCTAAACTGACATTTCAAAATATGTGGTATAACATAAGCTATTGTTTTATAATAATTCATATAAATGTGCTATAGAAAAACATCCTACTAATATAAAATTAGATAAGAGTGGGGGAGGGTGGCGCAGCCGGTGGCGGCCGAGATGTTCCTCGCCGGCTCCTCACATCACATGCGCCATGGTCAACCATTAAAGCTCTTTGCTTTTAAAAAATAATGTTGCTTTTGCATTTGCATCCTCGGGATGGTAATTATATTCATGGGTTCGGTCTAGGAACCAACGCATGATTTTATAATAAATTTTTAGGTTTTAAAAAGAACGATAAATTTTTTTTATCATATTTTCGGTTACACCAATTTCTCGTCGTTTCTTAACCTTAAAACTAAGTCATGAATGATCTCCTAGCTATCGATAGGCGAGCGAACAAAGAATACGGAGATGAAAACACTGATAATATTGTAATAACATAGCCTTGATAGCTAAATATCATGCAGTCGTTAGTGTTCGAATCAAAGACCGTAGTATAATAATAATCTATTTAATCAGTGAGGTAGTTCGATTCGTGCTTATAGCAATTTTAAATTCAAAATTGAGATCTTTACCATTTACATCATTATGGTTATTGACATGCACCGCCATAATCATATTGTAAATTTCGCATTAATACTCTACTTGTACAAATTTTATTTTATTATATTATACCATGTATAAAAAAATTGTATATAGCACGAATCAAACGATCTCAATTATTGAAGGGACGAATGTTATTCGTAGGGGTTTTGCAAGAAAGAAGCTCCCTTAGGGCCCAAGGGGGCCCGACCCCTGTTAAAATTTATATATTCGATATAATTTTGGTTTAATGATATTTTGGTTCATGTAAAAATAAATATTTAAATTTAAAAACTATAAAAGTTTATTAAATTTTTAATGAAGTAGGGGTCGAACTAAGGAATAATAAGTCTATGTTCACAATTTTTGGTCTAATTACAATTTAAGTCATTGTAAGTTTAAATATTATACAAATTAGAAGTTGTCTTTTGAGTTTTTTTTAATGTAGGGTGAATACAAGGTAATATCTATATAAAGACTTTCAACTATTTGACAATGAACGCTCATACTCCTACATACGTATTTGAACTCGGGACCTCAAGGATAACAACAATCTCTTAATCACTAAGGTCGCTTGGTTCATGCTGAATTTCTAGTTTAAATACCTAATAAGTCTTTATATTTTTCTTAAATAGTCTAATATTTCAGCCCCTGCCGATATTTAATTATGGCTTCGTCCCTGTGATTTCGGGTTTGAGCACCTGGGGCTACAAGGTACAAAAAAGCTTACGCTTATAGTTGGAGGTTATTTTGTTACTTTTAATAGTAGAGAGACTCGACAAAGTAATATTATATAGTGAGAGAATCATTTATGTAGTTTACTCAAAATTTTAATAAACAACACACAATTAAATAAAATTTAGGGTAAATTATGCATTTAGTACTTAAACTATCAGTTTTTATCTGTTTTAGTACTTAAACTTTTGTTTTTTTAAAATCACACATAATGTTTAGTTTTCATTTTATTTTAGTATTCGCTATTAAAAACACAACGTATTTAGTACTTATACTACAAGTTTGGTCCGTTTTACTACCTAAATTATTAATCTTCTTAAACATTAACGTTAAATTCTGAACGAGTGTACTAAAATGAAACAAAAACTAGAATTTTTAACTGTGAGTATTAAAATGAAAAAAAAAACTAAACTTTAGATATAATTTTAAAAAAATAAAAAAATTAAATACTAAAACGAATCAAAACTTATAATTTAAGTACTAAAACGGGCATCTACATACACATATAGTCACATCATTTTTTGTATTTTTAGACAAATTTCAGCATCCCAGTGGTCTTTTAACTTTTCCATTATAAATATAAAATATAAAATATAAAATCGCATTTTATTTAAGTTATAAAATCTATTATATATTAAAAGATAATAGTATTTAATTGTTTTAATATTAATAATATTAATTATAAATTATATCATTTCATACGCTCACAGTAAAAAAATGACAACGTAAATTTTTAATTTTTAATTATAAACTTATGAAATTAGAGTTAAAAATTTACCTTGTGTGTAAAAAACAATAAATTATATAAAATTTCGAATTTGTTATAATAAAATACCATATAATACGCGTATGAAAATCAACAGAGAAACAGAGAATATAACAGTGACTCCGATGATGTTTTAATGCTGTAGAAATAATTGGCCTTATTATTAAATGGGTAAAGTACACAATTGGTCCCTCGACTATAGGATGATGCTTAATTGAGTCCCTTGACTATTAAATGTTACAAAATGGTCCACCGACTATAAGGAGTTGCTTTGTTGAGTCCCTCGACTATTAAAAGTTACAAAATGGTCGCTTGACTATTCATTATGTTATAAACCGTCATTTTTCGTTAAAAACTTGACGACATTCTGAGTTGTACGTTAGCCTACTGGCTGAGACATTGTAAACTACGATCCCATACTCTCAAATGACTACCATATCTAAGTCAACATGTTAACGTATAACTCAGACGACATCTAATTTTTTTAACAAAAAAGACGAGTTTGGAACATAATGAATAGTTGATTAACCATTTTATAACTTTTTATAGTTAAGGGACTCAACAAAGCAACTTCGTATAGTCAAGGGACTCAATAAAATAATATGCTATAGTCGGGGACCATTATGTGCTTTACCCTTATTAAATTTGGATATTTCAAATCTAACTAGTTTTTTTAAATAACCATGCTATTTCATTTATTGAAAGTTGTATCAACAAATGTCTTGCTAAATACATACTGAACAAATACAGTCATGACTATCGAAAATAAAATATAACAATTTTGGTACATAAACTATCAGTTTTGGTCCATTTTAGTACCTAAGCTTTCAATTTTTTCAAAACCATACCTAAAATTTAGTTTTTGTTTCATTTTAGTACTATTGTTCAAAATTTAACGTTAAGTTTTGAAAAAAATTAAAAGTTTAGGTACTAAAATGGACCAAAATAGATAGTTTAGGCACGAAAAGCGTTAAGTTTTTAACAGCAAGATACTATAATGAAACAAAAAAACGTTATGTATGGTTTTGAAAAAATTGAAAGTTTAGGCGCTAAAACATACCAAAATTGCTAGTTTAGGTACTAAAGGTGCTGTTTACCCAAAATTATAATTATAGATTTTATTTATAAAAATAAATAAATAAATTATTTTTAATAATATATCATGTTATTATATTTTTATTTTCTCAATTTTGCCTTAATCAATTCTATAAAATGGGTAAACTATGCATATAGTACATAAACTATAAGTTTTAATCCATTTAATACCTAAATTTTTAAATTTTTTAAAATCATACATAACATTTAGTTTTCATTTTATTTTAGTACATGTTGTTAAAAATTTAACGCGCTTAGTACCTAAACTATTAATTTTGAAACGGATACTAAATTGAAACAAAAACTAAAATTTTAACGGTAGATACTAAAATGAAATAAAAATTAAAATTTTTAACAACAGATACTAAAATAAAACAAAAACTAAACTTTAAGTATAATTTAAAAAAAATTAAAATTTAGATATTAAAATATATCAAAACTAATAAATTATATACAAAATGTATAATTTATCCTAAGAAAAACTCCCAACTGTCACGTCATCTGTGAAATTGTTGTAATAATTTATGAACTAAAGTAGTGAAAACTTGTGAAATTGTATCTCTTTGTTATGTCCTAACTGTTGATTCTATCTGTTTATCAGATTCGGAGTCGAAAAATTTCCGATCCGGAAGCGTTATAATCTCGTACAAGGACTGCATTTATCATGGGGAAGAGATCGAATAGACGCCCCGTTCGATATGAAAAGGATCAGTTGGGATGTATGTGGGGATTGATAACTATGTTTGATTTCCGCCATGGTCGAACGACTCAGAGACTGCTTTCGGATCGAAGGTGTGATGCTGTTGGTAGGTTCTGTTAAGAAACTTTGAAGCATTTTCCACTGCAAGTGAATTTTTACTTTGTTTAGCCTTTGTCATTGTCCTTGTAGCATGGAGAGATCATTTGGTTTGTTCGGATATCGGTGCTTGTCGGACCCTGCTATGTACATCGGTTCTAAGAACTTGTTTAATTGTGCAGGTATCGGAAGTTCAGCTAGTCTGGTTGAAGAGAAAGCAATGGCAATGGATACGTGTAAGCCAAGCGTGAAGAAACTCCTCGAAGAAGAAATGTCGAGAGAGCAAGTTGCTAATATAGAGGTAAACAATACCGAACACGAAGCGAAAGAGTTCAGTTCGGGGGAAGGAGACAGCGGAAGGAAGAGCCGGAAAAGAAGTAACAAAGTTCGCAAGAAAAGTTCCGGGAACAGTCTGGTCGTCGATGCTGCCAAGAACTTGGTATTGCAAGTATCATGTCAGCATAAATCTGATCAACGAACACCAGGCAGTCTTGATGTAGACAATCTTGTAGAGGAGTTTCGTCATGAATACGATCGGAAAAGAATCGATTGTGTGCATCATGATTGGTCTGCCGAACCGAAGAGCTCCGGTTTTGAAGAAAGATTGAGTGAGGCTATCAAGTTCTTAGTGAGTCAGAAGCTTATTAACAGGAACCAACTTATGGAAGGTGGGGAACTCCAAGCCTCGAAAGAAGTCATGGATGCACTTCAAGTTTTGAGTTTAGATGAGGAATTGTTTCTGAAACTTCTACGAGATCCGAACTCGATGTTGGTGAAATATGTTAAAGACTTGCCGGATGATCGCGACATAGAGTCGAAGCCTCTTGTTGGATCCAACTTCTCAGAGCAGGTGCCTGTTGGTTTAAGACAATCGAATGAACCTGTTAATAGGAAACAGCGGAACTTTTTAGAAGAAGGTCCAAGTCTCAGGAACGAGACTCTTCGAACGGAAATAATATTTCCGAAGCTTCCACTAGAATCGTTGTTTTGCAGCCTGGATTGACGACATGTTTGCAAACACCTGAAACCGGAAGCGGCCGAGGCTCATCGCCGGAGCCTAAGCACATCATCAGACATAGAGAGCCTCACTTTTTTCTTGCTGAAATAAAAAGAAAGTGGAAACATGCTATGGGAAGAGAGCAACGTAGAATTCCCACCAATGAAATTTCGAAAAGAGTTTCAGGCGAGCCGAAAAATCTGGGGGACACCGGAGGGTTCAAGGAATATATCACAATGAATTCTCCAACTAAAGATAATTTCTTTATTGAAAGAGTTGCCAAACCTTCCACTGGTGCCAAAAGAGGAGAAAGGATCAGCAAGCTAAAGGGCTCCGAAACGGGTACTGATCTTGAGACTAATTTCTCCAGGGATTCGAACATCTATATCGAGGCGAAGAAACATCTCTCCGAGATGCTAACTGATGGTGATGACAATGTGGATCTTTCAAGCAGACAAGTTCCGAAAACGTTAGGGAGGATTCTTTCTCTCCTTGATCATAACTCTTACCCTGTTGGCAGCCATGGGAGGAGCTTGGAGCCTACTTTTATAACTACACAGATGAGATTGGGTGGCTCTGATAAACTCGACAATGTCAGCCGTCGTAGTCGAGCAGCAGAGGAAATAGAGACCCGGCTTTGCATTTCCGATAATAAAACCGGCGATGAAATCCAAGGTGATAATGTAGTTTTGGAGAAACTCGATGCTTTTGTGAATGATGACAAAGTGGATCAAGATGATTGTTCTATCAAAGATGTAACGAGTTCCGGAGGTATTATGGTTCAGGAAGAAACTAAGGTCTTGGATGCTTCTTCTAAGACTTCCATTACAACAGATAAAATTGTTGATGTATCTGAAGTTTATTATGAAAAACAATATCCACATTGCTCGAAACAAGTAGACTAATGCCACTTCCTCGTATATATATATATATATATATACACACACACACACAATGAAATAAGTATGCATTATATATGTTATATCTCATCCGACCGATATTTCGTTTTTTTTCCCGATCTCTAGGAGTTATCTGAAGGGGACCAACAGTCATTTTCTCCATTAGCATCTCCATCGAATTCACCGGTCACCAAAAAGGTTGAAGGTGTAGAGAGTGTTAGTGATATACAGGAGAGGCCGAGTCCCATATCTGTTCTTGAGCCGATATTCGCAGATGATGTTATCAGCCCCGCTAGCATCAGATCTATTTCTGGTAGACATGAGAAATCCTTTTGTTTTTCCTTTTTCATGTTCTGCATTTGTTTTAACTTTGTTGTGCTACATTCCGGATAATGCCGATTTTTGCACTGATCTTCAGGTGAAACATCCATACAACCGCTAAGAATTCGATTCAAAGAAAATGGTTCATCAGCAAATCACAGTGGTGGTTTTAAAACTTGCATGGATGATAAGGAATCAATATTTGAGCACATAAAGGCTGTGCTGCAAGCCTCGAGTTTCGACTGGGATAAACTCTACTTTAGGTCGCTTTCTTCGGACCAGCTTCTTGACCCTCTGTTGCTTGATGAGGTAGAATACTTGCCCAACCAACTTTGTCACGACAAGAAACTGCTCTTCGACTGCATTAACGAAGTTTTCATCGAGGTTTGTGTGTACTATTTTGGTTCCCCCGGCATGTCATTCGTTAAAATGAATATCTGTCCTCTTCCTAACTTGAAAAATACCATTGAAGAGATTCAGCAAAGAGTTTATTGGCATGTGCTCCCATTGCCGCTACCTCGTACTTTAGACCGGGTAGTACGAAAAGACTTGGCCAAAACAGGGACATGGATGGATCTTCGACTCGATGCAGATTTTATCAGTGTCGAGATTGGTGAAGCCATCCTCAAAGACTTGGTCGAAGACACTATAACAAGCTACATAAATGTAAGTCCCGAATGTGAATATCGTGACGAAGGACTAGAAGAGTGACATCAACTCGTAGAAGGCAATCAACTCGGTTTTGTTCATACTTCATTCCAATAATGCACCTCTCAATGGGTCAGAGTGGGAGCAAAGCAAGCTAATCAAGTCCCAACAAGCAAGAAGGGCTTCATTTAACACCCCTACGTGTTTTGTCGGATGCTGCGACGACACTTTAGTAACCGGGTCAACCCGGAGATCTTTCTAGTGACTTCGAAGCATCATGTTTCATGTGCAGAGATCCATTGCAAAGCAACACCAGATTTCAGAGGCCTTTCTAGGTTTAGTTTAATCAATAACCACATCACAGTGTCATTTCTCCTGGTGCAAGGTGATGAAAACTGCTGTTTCTTATTGGTAGAATTTAGGGCTTGGTGTGGATTTGATTGTGTGAATGGTGTTGATAGATTTCATTCATTCCTAGGGTTTGCTTACTGGTTTTCTTTGTTATATACCTTTGGGTATATATATACACACACACAAAAATATATGCATGTACCTGTATATGCATGTAGAACCTATGATTGCTAAAAATAATAGGGTAATCTACTTGTATGACCACTTAACTATTGTTCTTTTTTCATTTCGTTTAATAAAAATACTTGATGTTAAAAATTCAACGGAAGTAACGTGACTGTTAATGAAATTGTTATAATTACACATTTAAACCTCACTACTTGCACATTTTTTTATCAATTTCCAATCGCATTTTAAATTAATTCAATAATTTTAATTAATTTAATTTTTCTTCCAATAAGATTGTGACACCTATTATCATTACCATGTTACCCAATTCATCATCATGACATCATTTATTACCTAAATAAGTCTATTTTTGATATGTTACCTAACTCATCATCATGCCATCATGCACATGTTACCTAAAGGCTGTCAAATACAAGTACAGTCCCATCATTTATTAGGAACTGTCACAACCACCACAGCCTTGTGGCCGAGTCTTTATCTACCCATTGTCGGCATCTAAAACTCATGAAATTCAAGCCATTAATGGGGAAAAAAGGGGCATCTGAAACGTTTTTCAAACAGAACCATTCATTTGGAAACTCACTGAAGGGCACCATTGAAGTCAAATGTCACCTAATGCCCTGTTCTAATGAAGCACCATAGGGCATTTTCCCAAAAATGAGGACAAAAGGAAACATATGGACCATGATAATTAACTTCACAAAAGAATCTTGTTTATACTAATATACTAAGCTGAATAACAAAAGAACTAGTTTTTTTTTTGCATATTTCCATCATGGAAAAGCGTCTACAAGTCATTAAATACACTAGAAAGTACACAGCATTTAGCTACTTCAGTTTTTTCTTTACCTGAAACTGTGAAGTCGGCGGAACGGCTCTCTTCCTAGAAAATGCACTACTTCTGCTATCTAAATCTTCATCGCCATCATCTTCATTGACCATGTCTTGACCAGAAAGGGTGGATGAGTCCTGGTTCTTGGAAGCTTTTCTTTTTCCAGCACCCAACTTGGCAGATAGTTTTCTCACGACAGGGTCATTAGAGAGTCCGACATTTGATTGCCGCGGAACCTTTGCTCCAAGTCCAAGCCTGTTAAAAGCCTATCAGAATGGTGTATGAATAAATGACACGGCTATGAAAGAAGATAGTCACACTGACCTCTCTGGCCGAGCCTCTGGTTCTGCTTCCACTACTTCATCTTGTCCGGACCCATTCATTTTATTTAGCCATTGTTCAGCCTGCATATCACTTGTGTCAATAATAAACTAATAAACTGGTCAATGGTTCCCAAGAAGAAAGAACAATCTATGACTCCAGAACTCCACCATAACCGGAACTGCCCAGAGCACTAGATGCAATCCAGACACTACAACTCTTATACTGCATGATACACGAGGTACAAAAAGAGCGGTCACTTGAGTGAATCAGTGAAGCGTAGTATGCGTATTCAAGTCTTTTTGCATGCAAGTTTATACATATAAATGGAATAAGATTAAGATGAATAATAAGATAATAAACTATGAATAGTAACCCAATTAAATCCCACAAAAAGTGCTAACAAGTTTCATTTTCTTTCTGTTGGCCAACATGCATGATTTTATCATGATCCCAATATTGAGAAGTAAAGAATTTGATATTATATCCTTTCTTACTAGTGAAATACGACCATGAAAAACATAAATGCAACCTATACAATTATCTCCTTTCTTCCCATATACCTATCATCTTACAAAAAGAGTGCACGATAATGCCCGAGTGCAATGCCTAACTGCGTCTAGGTGCTTTAACAACACTGATCATGACGTTATTATAAGCAAAGCTGTTTTCTTTGTCATTATCTTAACATCTACAAGTAGAACTATGATCAAAACTTAACAATCCTCAATAAATACAACAAAAGCATCGGAGTTTCCCTGTGCTTTTGAAAAAAAAAACAATTAGCCCTCGTATTATTTGTTCTCTCTCAATGTGGCCCTCCAACTCAGAAAATAAATACAATAGACCCTTTGACCAACTTTTTTTCGTCGTTGACCGTTACGGTACTGATATGACAGTTCACGGTGTTGACACGACAATTTAAGATACTGACATAGCAATCCAAAGTGGCAAATTAACGTGGATGACATAATAAATTGACTAAATTGATAAACATGGAAGATTGACTACCACATCAGTACTGTAGATTACCGCATCAGCACGAACTGACACTCCAATACCGTAACAGTCAACAACAAAAATTATTAGTCAAAAGGCTATGTTGGATTTGTTTTCTGAGGTGGAGGCCACATAAGAAATAATACGGGGTCACGTTGATTTCTTTTCAAAAGGGGCCTCTATGCCTTTTTGTCTCCAGCAAACTATTACATTCAGTAACCAAATCTCCTTCAAACATGAATAATATAACAAAATCTCCACATCTCCATGTCATATATGAGTAACCAGGCACTATACCATACAATGACAACTGTTCAGACCCAAACACTGAAAAAAAATCTTTTAGTAAGCTAATCACCGAAGATAATTTAATCAACGATGAAAAAGACTTTAACATAGTGAAAAGTAGAGACCCGGATCATCATTCGTATCCAGTTTACCAAAAACCATGAAAATTTATCGAATGCATTACGATCAAATGCGAAAGAGAAAGATATATTTACCAATTTCGATGCGTTATTAAGCGTAATTATTTTAGGAGGCCCAGATTTATTTGGCTTTTCCTTGGCCATTGTTCTATATTACATGAACTCGGCGGCGCTTTGAGATGGCGGCGAAGGAGCTAGCCCGGTACCGGCAATCGGCAGCTTTAAGCCTGGAAGATGAGGAAGAACGAAGAGAGTGAAAGCTGAAGTGAATTTGATTAGGGCTATTCTTTGAATTCCAATTTGTTTTACAAGCTTTTAGCCCAAAAACGAACAATAGCAGTGATTATGTTTTTGGGTTCTATTAGGCTTTTGCTTTTATCATAGGATAGATATATATTTTGGTACATAAGCTTGGCTTTAATGTTCAATTTGGTACCTAAACTTCTCTTATTCAACTACATACTTGAATTTGATTTGTTGTTTCAAATTGGCATCTGAAATTGGTTTTCATTTCAAATTGGTACTTGCAATTTTAATTAATTGAATAAAGAAATGAAGTTCATGTACTAATTTGAACCAAAAAGTTTTGTTTAGGTACCAAATTAGAAACTTTAGCCACCAGTAATTTAGATTTTCACCCCAGCCCTTAACCATTTCCTTTTGGTTTTTGCATACTAGGTTTATATAATTAGCTTATTTGAAACATAAGTAGCCGAACTATATCATTTTTTTCCTTTAGATACCTAAAGTTTTTTTATTTATCAAAATAAGTACCTATAATTTTACTTCGTTACACTGTTTTAGTACCCCTGTCAACAAAAGTTAACCACTCATATTACGACACGTAGCCGAACTATGTACGAATGGACACCCATTGTTCTTTGTCCATCTGGATTTACTTTTATTTTCCTAAATTTTGGTGTCAAAAAAGGGACAAACAACTACTTTTCATCCTCCATTGTTAGCCAAAAAAGACTACTGTTACAGTAAACAAAAAAAACAAATAAAAGACAATATCCCACCAATAATATCAACATTAAATCATCATTTACATCAAATATATATATATATATATTCCTTTTGAAGACACTAAGTAGAAAAGAATTGTGATTCCTATGCCTATGACCTGCCAAAAACATCTAGTTCCAAAATCAGGCCGAGTTAACAAGGTTGAAGAGAGGGTTACCCCACCAGCATGCACCAAAGCTTTCATTGGCTCTTTGGTTTTTGTATCTTAACGTAAGGGAAAACACCCAAGAAGCGGACGACTTTCGGATCCCATTCCCGTTGCTGGGCACGACAAAACATCAGGAACGTGTTGGCAAAATACGAATTGAAGCCCATGAGGATGTGCCACAAAGCATGACCCTGGGGGTTGAAGTACCAATGAGATATCTCCTTGCAGAACACCCTGTCAGATAGCCAACAAAGACTCGCCAGGAACAAAGTCGCTACGTATAACTTCGCCAGTCACTTTGCATTGACGTCTTTAGAGTAGATGTAGTACTTGTATGCGCGAGGGATGCAGATAAGGCAGAGAACGACGTAATGCACCTTGAAGCCAAATCCAAAGCGGAAGACGGCATGGACCACTGCACACAAAGCTCCATAAAAGAACAGGAATGTAGGCATTGTACTCCGATAGTGCCAATCGGGTGAGTAGAGGATGTAAAAGTATAGAAGCATTTCCCACACCATTGGTGTTTCATCACCTTGCTGTTTCCTGAAAATAAACCGAAAATTTCACGTTTCAAGTCAAATTAGCAATTCCCGAGCGCAATGAACTTACAACAATACTTGGAATTTGACCAATACATGATTCATAGCAAAGGAAAAAGCTTAACATTATTAATTAACACCTTCCATTTGATTATATATCATCTACATGACCCATTCAAGTTAAGGTAAAATATTAGGCATTTATCCAATACATCTCCTTGAAAAGATGTGCTAAAGAACCGTAGAACAAAAGGAGTTACACACCATTTCTAGCGACTTCCAAAATAATGTAAAGTGTAATAAGAACACTTATTTTGTTTTATTTTATTTTTGGTGATGGCCTGAGGGGGATCAACTAATTGTTGTGTTTGTTAGTTGTGGTGTCAGCCTGCTGTTGCAGGTAAAATAACTAACTCCAAAGCCCAAGCAAATAACAAACAAATGAAATTCGAACAGACACACCGTAACAATATCTCCTAAAATTGGATCTTTTGTTAGCAACATTCATCTAATATCTGAATCTTTCAGGGGAATGAAAATGCAAGTGTAAGAAGTGAAAAAAACACTTACACGCGCTGTAATGTGGCATGGTATATCATGCTCCCAATGGCAAGTATCATGTTAGATATGTGAAGGACACTAAACCTCTTCTCGAATCGTTGTCTCAAGGCATTTACAAGGCCAATGAGTGCCAAAAGAATGCCTGGGACATTGGATGTCGTGTTAAAAAACTCAGCAATGTAAGACGAGTGAACATAATTTTTCTCACACCAGTCGGTGGATGTGACAGGACCCCAAAAGCTTGACAATCCATCTTCCATTTTATACTGAATATTGCAAAAAAAATCTGAATCCTCAACTAAGGCACTTTTCGGAAAAATGTTTTGCAACTGTCACAAACCCTGCAATAATGTCCAAGAGAACTATGATAATGAGATCCCATAAGAATGACAACCATATAAACAAGAACTATGTCGCTGATAGATGTCCTTTTTATCAATACAAGAAAAAACAGGCACTAATTAAAAGAAAAATGCCACAATACATTAAACTACAACATATGCACGACAATTGAGATAGGCACATAAAGCAAACCCTTTTACTAGTTGGTCAAAGGACCCCCACCCCTGGGGCATACCTAGCCAAAAGGGGAAAAAATAAGAATAGAAAGAATAAAAGTTGTTGATATCCTAGGATCTAGCCTTCAGTATCATAAGAGCAAAGTGTTATCAAAAACTCTCAATATAAGGTAAATTCTTTGACATCAGCTTATGCAGAAACTCCACGTTAAGAAACTTGAAAAATCTTTCATGTCAGCTATATTCCGAATTCCCTGAATTTATCTGATGCAATTTTCCAGTTATTCATGTATTTTAAATCGTTTTCAACTTATCCAATGGCATGCTCTTTTGTTTTACAGAAATCACCAACACACTTGAATCCAAAAGAAGGCGTAGCTCTAGACAATAAGCCAAAAACAGCGATCCGGAATAAATACCTAGAATCCATCCAAGTAAAAGTCCCCGTAAAACCTAGAATCCAAGGACATTATTTTAACCAAGTTTCTAGCTCTCCATCTCTATTTAGGTCCACTGATCTCTCTCCAATTGAAGACGACTTCACACTCCAGAGCAGTTTCGAACTAAAGGTAAAATTACTTATTCTCCCTATAGAATTTTCTAAAGATGGAATGAACAATAAAATCATTTTACTTTAAATTCTTGTCCTATATCACACCAATCTTATCAAATTTGATGAACTATTAATACTACAACGGCAACAGAAACTGCAGCAAACTTCAGTTAAAAGGTCCCATGTGAATGCTGAGAAATAAGTAATTAACTAATCAATCCATTTACCTATTTGAACCGATTTATTCCAAAAATTTAGCAGCCTCTTATTCTAGTTAAAGAGTTTCGAAGTGAATCCCGAGATCGAGGTACCAGTAAGAATCACCGCCTATCGAAACCTGTCTATTCTAGAAATTAACTCATAGAATATAACGCATTAAACCTCCAGCAAATAAAGAAAAATAGGTCATTAACTAATCAATCCATTTACAGACCGAAATCCCATTTAACCACTTTCAAACCTCCCTAAACCCATTTTACCAAAAGAATTTGGCCAATGCTATATTCTTAAAGATCAAGCGCCCTAAATTTCCATCCAATCCTCAATCAATGCCTTGAGTCTTAGTACAAACTGTGAATATCTCATAAGATCACTCACCCACCCACCCAAAAAAATCCAAACTAATCCTCGGGGAAGATACCCTAAAATTATAGCACTAAATCCCTCTCTTTAAACAACATGACACTGGCCAATACCTTAGATTTCTTTCTATTTCATTTTTCTATCATTAAACAAATAAAATTTGGCAGCAAATTAGTATAAAAATTATAAATTTGAGGAAATAAAAACACCATAATGTAGCAACCTTAAAAAGCCCACAACAAGAAGCAAACATCCCATTGAAATTTGACCAAATCCCTTAAGAACCATTCCTCAAAAAGTAAATCAAACGGATTTTCCATAACGAAACTGCCCATATTTTACCGTTAAACAATGAAACAAATTACATAAAAAATAGAAAAGAAAAGAAAAGAAAAGAAAGGAAAGTGAATTAGAAACTAACCCTTTAGAACAAATCAGATCTTGGGGTTTCAACAAAACCGATTGAACGACAGTCTCCCACTTATTTATTTAGGGATCTTTCCGTCTTATTGTTAAAGAAAAGGAAAACTAAAGGAGAAAAAACATAAAGAAAAGACACGGGAGACATCCCCAGCAAGAAAGGAAAGAAGACGACTAGGGGAGAGAACCTAAATTATAAATTATACTATGTTTTAGTATTTAAACTTTTACTTTTTTTTTTAATTATATTTAAATTTTAGTTTTCATTTTAGTACTCGTCGTTAAAAACTTAACACATTTAGTATCTAAATTTTCAATCTTTTCAAAATTTAAATTTAAATTTTTTCAAAATTAAACTTTATGTATGCTTTTGATTTTTTTAAAAAAAATTTATGTATTAAAACGAATCAAAACTTATAAATTGAGTACTAAATGTGTAATTTTTCCTATATATTTTTTACTTTTTATTAGTAATTACAATTTACTTCATTGAAAGAAATAATTTAATTAAATTTATTTTAATTAATATCATTGTAAGTCTATTTAAATATGGATCGATGAACTTATTCGAAGAAATATTGTGTCCTCATACGACATTCACACAAATAATCATTTAGTCTCATGTTTTTTTGGTATTTTTTATTTATAACGTTTAAATTATCGATCAAAATAGTCATAATTGGATAAAAATTATTAATTGATTAATAATAGTTCATATTATCGACATGATGTTTTTATATATGTTCAATTGTCGATATGATAATATCATATGATCACTTTGGACAATATAACATATGTTACATAGTCATTTTGGATGACGCGACACATGCTAAATCATCATTTTAAGAGTGGTGTGGCTAGAGATGAACATGAGACTCGAACCAATCGGGTCGATTTTTTTTAAAAAAAAATGGGTTCGAGTTGGGCCGAAACGAGTTACTTTATACTCTATTCGAAAAGCTCGTGAGCGGCTCCAAAATATAATAT